CATCAGTTCATACCAATTCAAAAAGTTAACCAAGTAATCTATTGTGAGTTAAGCTTCACTGCATGTGACTGCATGTGTGAGCGCATCTGTGTCAATCCATTGGGATTCTGAAGTCTCTGTGTGCAGCTGAAGGTTTTGTTTGTCATTAGGGATTTTGTGTGATATGTGTGAGATGTGTGTGATTGTGACAGTGCTGTCCCTCTCGGGCTGTGCCCCAGACCATGGGAAAGAGGAAGCACTTAAAACTGTCTGCGGTCAGTTGTCTCCCCTTCATTCACTCACTCAGACACTACGGACACTGTTATGGATTTATGGGTCACTGACAAATAATATATAGAGATGTGGTCCTGCTTTTTGGTGTCCTGTCCACAACTGGAGCTGTCCCTGGAAAATATCCCCATTTTACAGCACATTCAAGACACCCCGCAAATACACTGTAAAAAAAAAAAAAAAAAAAACCCCAGACCAACATAACCGGCTACCAAAGCAATTTTAAAAAGTTGCAATAAAAAGCTGTTTTTTATTACTTTATACAGTAGCCTACATTCATTTTGTAAAAAAAAAAATATTTTTCAAATACAGTTGTTATATTTATTATGTTACATTTTTGTAATGTGTTTTTGTATTATATATTTTTGTAATGTGTTTTTGTAAAGTCATAATTTGCTCTATTATATTGTTTTGATCTGTTTGCTATTTGCAAATGCATACATGCTAAATGCACGCTATTAGTATATGCATACTATTAATAGCATAATTATTATTTACAATAATAGTATATAATAGTAATATACTATTATTAATTAAAAGTTTATTCAACACACAATTTAAAAAAAAAATCAAACATGGATTGTCTTAGTTTTTCCATTCATAGATAACGATGAACTAAATGTCCCGATTTCCATTTTAGAAATGTCTTCATCGCCCTGTCATTCCACATCCTGCATCAGTGTGTAAATAACTGTGAAATGTGAATTGTGCTCATGGTTATTTACATACTGTATTGCAGTTCCCTTTTTTGACCAATCGGAAAAACCCGGTAATGTAAATATTTTCAGCAACATAAAAAAAGCTCATTTACTGTACAAATAAATGTACTGCTTTTCAGTGTAAAACCTCACTTAAACACCCTTCGCCCTAATCACATGCCTTAAAGTTTACCATAGCTCACAGACATGACAGAAAGAGGGAGAGAGAAGGGGAAAAGAGAGAGGGAGGGAGAGTCGTTTCAGCTTGAGTAAATATTTACATGAGAGCACAGAGACAGTTTGGGGATATGACATGTCTCTGTGTGTCACTCACTCACACACACACACACACACACACTGGAACAGATTAATTGTGCTGCTAACCTTCACACTTCTCGACAAAAATGCATGAGATAATGCCACATCTGTGCTTGTTAGGGAAACTGTACTAATCTACCAGTGGAAAGGAGATGAGAGCAGGCCTTAAAAGTTGAAGGAGAGGTTAGAAAGTAAAATTGATCAATAGCTACACACACACGCACGTTTTTATGAGGGAAAAAAAGAAAAGTTAGATGAGACACAAGCTAGCAGAGCCACACTGATGAGATTAACGCCTACTTTTGGTTGTTGGTTTTAGCTGTCAGTGGCTTCTTAAAAATGCTCATCTGTAGCAGTCGCTTTCTGGTGACCGTGACTGCATTCTGCCTTGCTGTTGTAGGTCATTATACTTGTGAAGCTCTGACCTTGCCTCTGTGTCAACATCACAGTTCAGCTTTGTGAAGTGTGTGCCATAAAAATAACCCCTTGTGTGTGCTTAAGGGCTGCTGTGACCCTTTTCTGAAATCCCTTTGTGAATTTCAGTGAAACTACATTCATTGAAATACTCAATTCAGTGTGTTTCTGAGTGGATGAGTCAGATGCGACCTCTTCTCTATCACCTCGGCGTTGTCGATCACTTCAGGGCGCTTGTAGGTTACAACTGAATTTGTGAGCAAAGATTTCTCGACGAGTCAACCCATAATGTCTATTCTCTTACTGATGACATATTATAAGAGGTGCAGAATGTTGTTTTCATTTTCAAAGTATAATTCAACGTCCTAATCATACACCTCCATCCTGATTTATTTGAGCTTTTCAGCAAATTGACAAAAAAAAGGTTATGTGATTACCATAGATGCCTATTAATTTGGCAAACAGCTTTCAGAGAGATTTTTATGCATAACTTGTCATGATGCACCTACATCCTCAGCAGTTCTGACCAAGCCTGTTAATTATACAGAAACTCAAAACAAGCTTGTTCAAGAAGCTTGTGTCTCCGACCGCAAATAATTCTGAGATGTGTACAGTTTGGCTTCATGGCAACTCTGAGAATCAAAATGAATAGGGGTAGAATATTTTATTCTCATACATATGCCTTAAACAAGCTCAAACAATTACACTGCCTCCTTCATATCACAACATAATAGAACTGCACGATTAATTGTTTAAAGATCGCAATCTCGATTCAAACACCTCTTACGTCTTATTCGCCTGTGTCTTTGACCTTTGACAAAATCTCACCGGAACATTAAAATCTGCGCTGACGCTACTGCCGCTGACCCAGAGAGAGAAGTTGTCATGAATAGGTATGAAACAGCTTAATAAACAGTCTTTTCAACCACACAGTAATCGCAAATTATCACAGAAGTACTGGGGTAAAAGTTTATAGTTTGGATATGAACAGTGATGTAGAAATCAATAGAGCAAATCACCTTTTGAACGTAATTTGGTGATTCAAATAACGACTGTATCAATTACATCGATACACCACTAGATGGCGACAAGCTCAATTATTTGTCATTGAATCATTCAGAGATTCATTAAAAAATGCTGATGAAACAATTGAAGTCCCTGTCACAAATGGCACACTTCATATGCACTTTCGGTCTTGTGGACTTACGATGGCTGCCACGTGCGCATGTCCATTAGGTCCATGAGACAGTAGGGTCTCCCATTTGTCATTTTAGGTTTCAGAAGGGTGCTCGCGAGTCGTGATTGTTTAGGGTGCCATTTGGGACAGGGCCTTTATGGGAGAGTCATTGAATCATTCATTCAAACAGATTTTTTAAAATTAATAAATAAAAAAAAATCGACTGCAGCAATTCACTTTTTTTCAGAACCTCTAGTAAATTACGGTATTTTGTTTAGTTCAGATTCGAGGGAGAATTATGATCTCTATTTGAAACAAAAAATCATGATTCTCAATTTATCAAAAATTGTCCAGCTCTTCTACATAAGAAAACAAAAAGCAACATAGAACATACAGAACCAGATGTTGACTGTTTATGGGTCACATCCCTTAAGTAATGCATGTAACGCTGCATTTAACCATAATTTGCAAGTGTGCAAGTGTGTTTAGCTGTTATAGTTACATTAATTTCATTTCAAAATAATTTTTTCTTTAAAAAAATATTATATAAATACTATACATCACATATATAATTTAACTAGGCTAATTTAAAATTAAAATAAATAAAAATATTAATAAATTATATATAACTAATATATATAAAACTATTTTAAATAAATATATATATTTTGGGTCATTAAAAATGTTGGCAAGCAACTGGCCTGACAGGCCAAATACTAAAAATAAATCCTTATTATTAAACCTTGTGTCAAGTTTTCTCTGTAAGCAGCAGTATGCTCTTATGATTAATTGATTTTGTTTGTCCTCAATTATAACCCAATTTGGACTGAAAGCATCTGATAAATTGATTCATTCATAATAAACTTATTGGGTAAACTCCTAAATCAGGATGCATTTTATTAATAGTTTGATTTGTCAAAATCCAAATAAAATATTAGTAGAGAAAGATACTGTACATACAAACATTAATGAACATTTGAAAAGTGTTTTGTTTTTAAAAACATGCACATGTCTAGAAAATGTAATCTGTCATATAAAATCACAGTTTCTGAGTTTATAAAACACATGAAATGCACTAATCCTGTACCGAGCATACAGTATGTGCTGTAAGTGTTGCTGTAACATCATGTCTCAATTCTTAACGCTGTCTGAGCTACTGTTCCTCTCTCTCATTTCTTCCTATGTTGTCACTGTTCATTCATTTATTCATCTCTCAAAGACTTCTTTAGGAAAACTTTTCAGATTTTACCCTACCAGGGTTTTTTGTCACTTCCAAATGGGGTTTTAGGTACAACTCACAGTTGTATCTAAAACCCCAACTGGAAGTGTCAAAAAAACCCTAACCATGGTAAAATCCCAGTAAAACCTTAATAAATTCACTTACCTAACTTGCCTTTAGCTTTGACTATAATCAGAGCCTCTCGTGCCATATTGCTTGTACAATAAATCAGCAATTTAGGCTTCAGATGTGGCTCATGCAATCAGAATTTACAGTCACAGTTATCTTTTTTTCTAAATAAATATCTAGTCTGCAATGAGAAGCTTGTGCGTATAAATATTTGAGCTATCTCTTTGTCATTATGGTAGAAATTACAGTCTCTGGTCTATAAACATAGCAGTTTAATCATTTGCTTGACTCTGTTAAAAGCCTTTACTTTAGTTTCACTCTGTGGTATAACAAGGTGTCTTATTAACATACACAAACAAGTGTATGTGCTAGTGCACTATTTTTAGAGTTTCACTGTCAGAGCTAGGCACATTTCTGGTAACAACAGCAGCCTGCAATATCCTCTTTAAACTTTTAACTTGAAACAAATATAATACAGATTACAACACCTGGATTTGTACAGTTACAAACCGCAGGGCGATACAACCCAAATACAGCAGCAACAGTTGATAACAGAATCAGACAGACACAGACAGCAATGAGATTAGAGTCACTGTATCTAAACTGCAGATGATTTGCCAGACAACGTGAGAATCATTAGACACCTCACGTCTTACTCTCCCACACGCACCATTAACACAAATCACAGCCTGAAGGACACAGCACTGCACTCTCAACTCTAGAGATCAACAAAACCTCAAGCCCTCAAAAGAGAATAGTCAGAGAAATGTACAACCTGATGGAAGAGAGTAAATCATCCAAATGTCTTCTCCTTTTCTCACCAGATAACTTTTAGAGAAAGCAAGAGAGAGGGGGAAGAGAATGGAAACAGAAAGAAGGTTGACTGGGGAAGGGGAAAGAGAGAGCATGCAGTCTGTCCTAAGAGAGTGGGAGGGTCAAAAAGTGAGAGAGAGAGAGAGAGAGAGAGAGAGCGAGTGCAGGGATCACAGACAGCAGCATGATTCTACTGATGGAGCACGCTTCCTGTGACACAAACACCCAGATATGTAGATCAAAGTCAACCAAAAACTTGAAAACATTTGCTCAGTCTGAACACATGTTGATATGTACATACAGCAGATGTAAATATGTACACTAACACCCCCAGAAATTATTATTATGTAAAATAAATGAGTTCTGCAAGCTAGTAAGAGGATCTACAGCAACTGTATCTCTGACTTAATGGAATAGATCAACCAAATATAAATATTCTTCCATTCCAAATCTGCATATGGTCGTCTGTGAAATATATTTTGGAGAGCACTGGGGTCCAAACAACATAGGACCCCTTCACATATCATACGGAACAAAAAAAATAGCCTACTTCTGACATTTTTCTTTTGTGTTGCACAGAATAAAGAAAGTCCTACAGATTTGGAATGACATGATGGTGACTGAATAAAGAATCACATTCACTGTGGACTGCTGGACGGATTGATTAAACCAACAAAGTGCCTCAGAGTTTTTACACTTTTGGGTGGAATCAATCAACTAATGGTTTACTTATACATCGTCTCTGCATGTTAAGCTGTGACATCAGGAAAAAGACACCCAATTACCATAGGCTGCCAGTTTTAAACAACTAACATCCTCTTGACTCCCCCACTGACCCAAGAGCAAGGTTACTATTTTACACACAAACACACTCAGTTTCCTATGGGGAGGACATCAACCACAAACATCCTCAAGCCAGCTATATATGTGTGTGTGAGTGTATGTGTGTGTGTGTGTGTGTGTGTGTGTGTGTGTGCGTACATGTTTGTGCCGGGGGAAAGGGTGTATGCTTCTGTGTCGGCCTCTTAACTCTGATGTGACAGAGACGCCAACAGTCCCTTTGATCAGTGTGACGTCACTGCCGCAAACAGTATGTGTGTGCATCAGGACGCTGCCCGTGTGGTTGGGCCGCAAACAGCTTTTTTGTCCTATGATGACTGACAGACCTATCTCAGACAGAGCGGTTTACTGCATCTAACACAAAAAAACATGCATGCATACACTCAGCCATGCTCTCAGTTTCATAGTTTTTGTTTCCAAAAATGCACAAGAAGCCAGTCGAGAAACCCATATACTATGTTGTAGATCAATTTGGCCTATTTCGATTTTTTTAGTTGTCAGAAATACCATTTAACCTATGATGTTTTTCTTGACATTTTGTGATTTTTTTTTTCTTTTACAGTCATGAACATGCCTGCAAGGTGTTAACACTTTAATGTGTTGTGCAATGTGCCTACAAAATTTCTATTCTCCACAGACCCGAAATAAAAACATATATCAGTATCTATACCCTCAGAGGGTATTTACATTTATGTACAGTATTTGGCAGACACATTTATCTGAAGAACTTGCATTGAAGGCATATATAGTTATCAGTTCTTGCATGTTAAGTTTGCTGGGGATTGTATTCATGATCTCGCCATTGCAAGTGCCAGGATCTTCGGGAAGTGTTTTTCCAAACAACTTAAAATGTTTTTTTATTTTTTTATACCGTTTATAATATTCAAAGTTTATGAGTTATGTTCTTTAATGTTATTATTCCTCTCATGTTAAAGGTCTTTGGTTGTCATTGGTGTGATTTTTGGGGAATTGTATTGAATACAATTAGGGTCAGTTTGGCTCCCAACATAAAAACAGTACCCAGATCTGTTTAACATATTACAAGGGATGTGTTAGCTTATGAGTAATCGGCGGCAGAAACTAAAAAAGCGGCGTTTACTGAAACAGAAACACATGCATTCACACTGTACACTTCCTCCCCCCACACAAACACTTATTCACCCTGACTCTGTCGATATGCATGTGCACACACAAACAGAATCTGTTCTGCAGATTTGATGAACCACGATGCAGGCGTCTGCCTCCGCCATATATGGTAAAGGTGCTGCTCAGAGTATTTGTGGCTGCTAATGCTACACTGCTCAACAGACACGAATTAGACACGGTGGTTTGATAGTCTTGATACAGTCCAAGAAAGAGCAGTTTTACATTAGCATTTCATAAACCAGACAAGGGGATTAGATTTAGAACTCCATCTCTGAGTGCAGGAGTGGGAGGAATGAGGAGTGTGAGTCACCATGCAAACAAGACACAGAAGCAAAGTCTGTCTATTTATTTCGTCAAGTGTGAATGTGAACTTAACGTGCCATCTCAGACGTCGCTCTCCCACGGCAACTGTTGCTGCTTCTGGCTGGGTGTCACACCACATCATTACCTGATAATCATCTGAGCAACCACCTAAGACCAGCTGTCAGTCATATTTCCGCTGACAGCCCAATCTTCATATGCCATCTAATCAGCCCTTCTCATCCTGTATGAGCATATTGAGAAAGGGAGGCATCTGCTGGTCAGAAGCTGGCATTACAGGCATAATGGTGTGTCATTAACTGCCTGTCAGTCTTGAAGTTTTGATTTTATGTGCATCATTCTGTTCCTGTGCGCTCAGATATTAAACTCCTCTCAAAAAAAATCTTACAGACTCCAAACTTTTTGAACGGTAGAATCTTCCATTCTGCCAGCATGTGTCCTCCAGTAGATGGCAGCAAATCACAACGTAATGTAATGTGCAGTGCAACAGGATAAAGCCCTGAAAAATAAGATTCATATTGAACTGAACTGACAGTTCGTGAATTTGAATCAAATCTGGAAATCTGTAATGATACCCAGCCCTATTCAGTATTTTTCTACCTAATTATCCAAATGTGAACATACCATAGACCTCTATTGTTTCTAAATCCTTTTTTTTTATTATCATAAACTAATGAATTGTTCTTTTTTTTTTTTTTTTTGATTTACCAATCTTCTAATTTCTGCTCTTTGGGAAAGAACATTACTCTTAACAACATTTCCTTCTCCTTTGCTGCTTCAACATGACATAAATAAGCAAACACGCACATATACACACCCTCTGGAGCAGCATAGTGCTTCTTGCAACAACTTTAGGAGAGAATGCTAAAGTAGCCAGCAAACAAACAAAAAACAGCAAACTTCCTGCAAACAGACAGTCACATGTTAGTGTGATGTGAAGGAGAGACAGAACCAGACCTACAGAGACTACAGAGTCTCCATGGCATGGAAGCTAACGTGCTGTTAAAAAGCAACACCTTTCATGACTGTTGTAAGATAAGCAATCACAACGGCTCAGAAAATTATAACTGTGACAGTTGTCATCAGAGCTTTTAGCAAACGTGCAGTTGAAATTCATCCTCGTCTGATTATGAGAAAGATCCGTCGCTGTTGAGGACGTGGTAGATATTGATCACCCTGATTCTGTCAGGTTACATCACTAGACAAAATCCATCTAACAAATAACACTTAATAGGCCACAGCCAGCATCCCTGCTTCATCTTTGAGATAGTAATGAGATTTTAAACATGGCCAATAGATGGTATTAAAACAAAATCTACCCTTCTTTTTTATCCATCTCCTTTTTTCCAACAGATCTTGCTCTTTTTTCCCCCTCATAATCATTGTACACCCAGCTCCAGTCCATCTCTCAAGAGCAGCAAGAAAAGTCACAGTATCATCATGGTTTCAACAGGGGTACCAAAAAACACATCCAACAGTGAAAAATAATGAGGTATGTAAAAAGGGACACTCCACACACAAAAAGACAAACGCAAACACGAAATAACAGGGCTTTCAATTACTTCAAGAGCCTAAGCCCTTGAAAATCAGATTATTTTTGGTGTTTTTTGTTATTTTGGTGTCCCTTTAGCCTTTATCTTTGACCAGTTACCCTTGAATAAGACAGGGATGGATAGACAGAGAGACAGAGAAATTGTGACAGGTGAATATAGTGGCTGGTGACCTTATTGCGAGTATCAGTGTGCATGTGTGTGTTAATGGGGAACAAGATCAGAGGCTGTTGCAGTGGCAGATGGCTGCATATTCCCAGTGGAAGAGCAATGATCTCAAAAACACCCGTAGTTTGGTACCAAGCCGATATGCTTCCATGTGTACGTGGAAAGCACTCACACTTCACTGTGATGTATCCAGGGCCAGATTTATAACTATTTCTCTTGTGAGGTTAAGGAAGCAGTTATATAATGGCGCCCGAACAGGGACCCTGGGCACGAATTGCCCAGATCCTGATAGAGGAGATTTTTACAAGATGGGGCACTCCTGCCTATCTTGTTTCTGACAGAGGGGCTCAGTTTACTTCTAATTTACTTAGCCAAGCATGCAAGCAATGGGGAGTTGTCCAAAAGCTCACGACCGCCTATCATCCCCAAACCAACCTCACTGAACCCATCAACCGGACTTTGAAGACAATGATGGCATCTTATGTTGAAGAACAGCATCGACACTGGGACCAATGGTTGCCTGAATTCCGATTTGCTATAAATACTGCTTGGCAGGAGAGTACCGGCCATTCCCCAGCACAGATTGCCTTAGGTCGAAACATAAAAGGTCCAGTAGAAAGAGCATTTCAACTCCACAAGATACCCGATCCAACAAGTCTCATCTATCATGTACTTGACCGACATCATCAACTCCTCCGTCTGGTAAAAGAGAATGTAGAAAAAGCACAAAACAAACAACAGCGATATTACGTCAAGTGCAAGACAACGTGAAAGAGAACTCAATTCAGTCTGAGTAGCAGATTTCATGGTGTACGAATTGAGTTGAACTTGAATATTTAAATAGGCAAGGCTCAAAGCTTCGAGACGATGCATCACTGGCCCGTCAACTGTTCCGAGCATCATTCAAGTTTGTTCACAAAAATGTTACGGGGCCAGCTGGCAATTGACACCATTTCATATACTCGCCAACACCAATTTTTACTCGCATTTGACGAGAGTTAATTTTAGGCCCTGCTTTAAATGCTTGTGTATGTTTATTTAACTGAGAAATACTTAAAGGGTAATAAATAA